ATTTTCCAACTTTCTATTTTTCAGTTTGATAATTTTAGAATTTTTCGGTTTCAAAATTTTTAGATTTTAAATTTTTCAATTTTACAATAATTATTCAATGTTTCAATTTTATAGTTATGCAAACTTTCAACTTTTTGAATTTCAATTGTTCAAAATTTTGATGTTAATTTTGAAGTTTTTGATTTTTCACTTTAAATTATTTTATAATATTTCGTTTTTCATGTATTCGATTTTTCAATTTTTAATTTTTCAATTATCCAAATTTCATTGTTTCGATTTACTACCTACACTTTTTTGATTTTTTTGAATGTGATATTTTAACAGTTTTATAATTCTTCGTTTTTCAATTATTCAATTTCTGGTTTTTCAATTATCGGTATTTATCGTTTCGATTTTCAAATTTTTGATTTCCAATTTTTCAAAATTTCGGTTTTTATTTTTTAAGTTTTTGATTTTTGAATTTCATGATCTCGCAGCTTTTCGATTTTTAAATTTTGTAATTTTTCGATTTTACACTTATCCAATTTTTAAATTTTGTAATTTTGGAATTTTTTTATTGTTTAGTTTTATATTTTTTCGATTTCTCAATCTCTAGGTTTTTAAATAATCAATTTTTGATTCTTCAATTATCAGATTTCCCAATTTTTCGATTTTTCATTTTTCAGTTTCTAAAGTTTCAGTTTTTTTTTTCAATTTTTCAACTTTTTGATCTCTCGATTTTTCGATTGTTTGAGCTTTTCTATTTCTCGATACCATTTTCTCGATTTCTCGACTTTTCAGTTTGCCAGTTTACCGATTTTTCAGGTTTTTAATTTTCCATTTTTTTTAAATTGTGGGTTTTTCGATTTTCCGATTTTTTGGTATGTTATTTTTCGGTTTTTTAAATTTTAGATTTTTCAATTTTTGAACATTTCAGTTCTGCGATTTTTCTATTTTTCAATTTTGTTCTTTCTAAATTTTCAGTTTTTCTACAGTTATCTAGTGTTTCAATTTTTTGAATTTTAATTGTTTTAATTTAAATTTTTCAAGTTTTTGATTTTCAGTTTTATACTTTTACAATTTTTCGATTTCTCAATTGTCTGGTTTTTAATTAATCAATTTTTCAGTGATCAGATTTTCCAGTTTTTCATTTTTCAGTTGTTTGATAATTTTAGAATTTTTTCGGTTTCAAATTTTTTCGATTTTAAAATTTTTCGAATTTACAATAATTATCCACGTTTTCAATTTTATAGTTTCGCAAATTTTAAATTTTTTGTATTTTTAATTGTTCAAAATTTCGATTTTAATTTTTAAGTTTTTGATTTTTCAATTTAATTATTTTACAATTTTTCGTTTTTGATGTATTCGATTTTTCAATTTTTAATTTTTCAATTATCCAAATTCCATTGTTTCGATTTACTACCTACACTTCTTTGATTTTTTTGAATTTGATATTTTTACAATTTCATAATTCTTCGTTTTTTCAATTATTCAATTTCTGGTTTTTCAATCATCCGTATTTATCGTTTCGATTTTAAAAATTTTGATTTTCAATTTTTCAAAATTTCGATTTTTAAATTTTGTAATTTTTCGATTTTACATTTATCCAATTTTTCAATTTTGTAATTTTGGAATTTTTTGATTGTTCAGTTTTACATTTTTTCGATTTCTCAATATCTCGGTTTTTAAATAATCAATTTTCAATTTTTGATTCTTCAGTTATCAGATTTCCCAATTTTTCGATTTTTCAATTTTCAGTTTCTAAAGTTTTTTTTCAACTTTTCGATCTCTCGATTTTTCGACTTTTAGATTTTTCGATTTTTTGAGCTTTTCTATTTCTCGTTACCATTTTCGACTTCTCGATTTCTGGATTTTTCAGGTTGTCAATTCTTTAACTGCTCAATTTATTGTTTTTCAGGTTTTTAATTTTTCATTTTTTTTTTAATTCTGTGTTTTTGGATTTTCGATTTCTCGATTTTCCAATTTTTTGATATTTTATTTTTCGGTTTTTTAAATATTAGATTTTTCAATTTTAGAACTTTTCAGTTCTGCGATTTTTCTATTTTTCAATTTTTGTCGCTTCTAAATTTTCAGTTTTTCTACAGTCATCTAGTGTTTTTAACTGTTTCAATTTTAATTTTTAAAGTTTTTGATTTTCAGTTTTATACTATTACAATTTTTCGATTTCTGAATTGTCTGGTTTTTAATTAATCAATTTTTCAGTGATCATATTTTCCAGTTTTTCATTTTTCAGTTGTTTGATAATTTTAGAATTTTTTAGATTTCAAATTTTTTCGATTTTAAAATTTTTCGAATTTAGAATAATTATCCACTTTTTCAGTTTTATAGTTTCGCAAATTTGAAATTATTTGTATTTCTAATTGTTTAAAATTTCGATTTCAATTTTTAAGTTTTCATTTATTTGTTTAGAATTACTTTTTTTTTTTCATTTTTAATGGGTATTTAAAAATTTCTATTCCTAATTTTCAAGTTTATGATTTTTCGATTTAATAATTTTGCAATTTTTTATTTTTACAGTTTAAAAAATTTTAGCTTTTACACTTATCCACGTTTTCGATTTTTTGATTTTTAGCTGTTCAAAATTTTAATTTTAATTTTTCAAGTTTTTGATATTCAGTTTTATACTTTGACAATTTTTCGATTTCTCAATTCTCTGGTTTTTAATGAATTAATGTTCCAAAATCTAGATTTTTCAGTTTTCCAATTTTTCATTTTTCAGTCTGATAATCTTAGAATTTTTTCAGTTTCAAAATTCTTAGATTTTAAAATTTTTAGATTTTACAATAATTATCCAATTTTTCAATTTTATAGTTTTCCAAATTTTCAATTTTTTGGATTTTAGTTGTGTAAAATTTCGACTTTAATTTTTCGTTTTTGATGTATTCGATTTTTCAATTGTTCAGTTTTTAACGAATTATAGAGGTTACAATTATCCAGTTTTTCAATTTTGTAATTTTACAATGTTTCAGGTTTTTTGATTTTTAATTGTTCAAAATTTCAATTTTAATTTTTGAAGTTTTTTATTTTCAGTTTTTACTTTTACAATTTTTCGATTTTTCAATCATCAAAATTTCCAATTTCCCACTTTTTCAATTTTTCGGTTTGGAATCCTTCGATTTTTTTATTTTTCAATTTAATAATTCTGCAATGTTTCAGTTTTACAGTTTAATAAATTATCCAATTTTTCAATTTTGTAATTTTGCAATATTTCAATTTTTTGAATTTTATTTGTTCAAAATTTCGATTTTAATTTTTCAAGATTTTGACTTTTTGGTTTACCTATTTTACACTTTTTCATTTTTAAAAATATCCGATTTTTTCGCTTTTACACATTTTTGATTTTTTCAGTTTTACATTTTTACATTTTTTTAATGTCTCAATGATTCGGTTTTTGAATAATCTGTTTCTCAGTTTTTAATTTTTTTCAATTATTTAATTTTTCAATTATTCGAATTCATCCTTTCGATTTTATAATTTTTGATTTTTAATTTTTCAAAAATTTCGATTTTGAAGTTTTTCATTTTTGAATCCATGATTTCGTAATTTTTCGATTTTAAAATTGTTCTACATACATTATTTTGTAATTTTCAGATTACAGTATAATAAGTTCAATTTTGTAATTTTGCAATTTTTTTATTTTTCAGTTTTATGTTTTCACAATTTTTCGTTTTCTCAAATTTCCGCTTTTTAATGACTAAAGTTTTCAATTATAAATTTTTAAAGTTTTTGATTTTTGATTTTTATAGTTTTGCAAGTTCTCAATTTTTCAATTTTGTAATTTTTTTATTCTATAATTATCTGATTTTTCAACTTTTCGATTTTAAAATTAATACTGGATTTTCAAGTTTACATTTACGTTATTTTCCAGATTTATGGTTTAATAATTTTTTGATTTTACAATTATCCATATTTTCAGTTTTGTAATTTTGCAATTTTTGTATTTTTCAGTTTTATATTTCTGTGTTTTCGATTTCTCAATTATCCGCTTTTTAATTAATCAATTTTCAACCATTGATTTTTCAGTTAACAAATTTTCTAATTTTTCGATTTTTCATCTTTAAATTGTTCGATATTTAAATTCTATAATTTTTTCGTTTCTAAAATTTTTAGATTATCCAAAATTATAGGATATTAAAACTCATTTATTAGTTTCTTTAATTGTTCTATATTTAAGCTTGATTAGTTACTGAATGACCCAAAAAACAGAGTATAAAGTATAAACTGAAATATCGATACTTGAAAATTGTAAAGCTAGATTTTTTATAAACACTCTGTATATTAAAATTTGATTTAGTTGATATCACAACAAAACGCGTACTTTTATTTATCCTTTCACAAAATATTGTAATTCAGACTTTAAAAATAACCCAATTTCAAAAGTAAACTGTGGTTTTAAAGCCTAAGAAGAGGTCAATGAAAATATATAAAAATATATAGGGTGTTTAAATTAATTTAATAAAACTAAGTTGTGTGTTACGCTTTAAAAACAGAACACTTTGCATAGTAAACATTTTTTTAGAGTAGTGACATCACCCTGTATATAAAAATACAAAGAACAACTGCTGCCACGTGTTTCATTTTCTTTTCCTCGTTGTAAAAACCTCAAAATTTCAAGTCAATAATTGATTAAACAGACGAAAAAAGCTTGTATGTTCTAAATAGGGTGAGCTTACCTTCTGAGTCGACTACTTGGGCAATACCGCTTTAAAAAATGGGGGATTTACTTCTTGTCGAAACTGTGACGTCATCTTAAAATATAATTTAATCCATCAGTGTAGAATCGAATTAAAAAATATGTTTTTGACTTGGTTTACCTTTTTTTGTAATGTTTGCGAAGTCGGCGTAATCATAAGTTTTTCCAGTGGGCGCACCTTTTAATTTGACTGCTTGGCAAAAAAACCCTCGTCTCCTTATTAACATTTTATTTCATAATTTATATATAATTTCGTATACAATCCAATTTCATTAGTACATGAACTACTCTAACAATCTATCCATAATATACAGAGTGTACTAGACCGGTCGCTAACAACAACCTCTAAAACTATACACAATTATTTACAAACACTTGAAATAGTCAAGACTAAAGCAATAGAAAATTTATGTACAACGTGATGGGTGAAACCAGTGGCGACCGTCACAAATTAGAGGGAAATAACCACAGTTTAATACAGACAATAAAACCGAACACACGCCACTGTTTACAATATAATTTATATGATCTGGTAGCTACAGGCTAACAATAGAGACCTAATAACTGGCTTCATGTATTCAATACGGTAGGGGTCGGATGAATACAGGGAAGAGGGGTGGAACTTGATTCATATGTATTTTATAATTAAATTCTGATGTGATTGTTCGTGCGGAAACTCGAACTGGTCTTCATTAATCCGCTCACAGGAAATATACAGGGCGTACAAAATTAAACTACTCCGAGTAAGATGTTTTGTCGGAGCTGGTGTTCGACCCGGGGGACGACGCCGAAGCCTTGTCGCTAGCGTACATGTCGTGGACCGACCCCACCATGGACATGTAGTCCGGGGGCGGCCTGATCACCGTGGGCAAGTACCCCGTGCCGGCGTAGGGCGCCGACAGGAACCTCCTCGACGGGCTGAACCTGTGGAAGTTGCTCGGCGGCCCCAGGGGGCTGAACGCCGACGGCAGCGTGACCTCTTCATGAGCCCCACTCACCATCATCTCCATAGCCTGCACCACGTCCCCTTTGCACCTCTGCAGAAGCGCCTCCACGTCCGACCGCCGCTTCCCGGGGAACACCCTCATCAGCACGTCCACGGGCGACCGCTGCGTGGTGTACTGCGGCTGGAAGGGCGGGAACGTGGCGAACTGCTGGTAGGGGATGAAGTTCTGCGCCGGCTGCGGAGGCGTCTCCGGACTGGAGGGCTTCTTCAGCGACAGGTTCTCCGGAGCCTCGCTCTGGGTGTCGTCCTCCACGTCCAGGTCCGGGTCCGGGCTGGTGGTGGGCTCGGGGGAGGGGGAGGGGGCGGCGGGAACCGGGGGAGGGACGGTGACAGGGCTGGACTGGCGCGATTTCTTGAGATCCTCGGGCTCGGAGTCCGAGCCCTCCAGGGAGCAATCTTCCACGTTGATGCGAGGGCGCTTGGAGGCTGGAACAATAAGAATCGTGAAACTTTTAATCAACAATATTTTTCCAGCAGCTTCCCATATTAAATGGCACGTAAAAATAATCATTTTTGTAAAGTCGGAGTCAACAGTGGCCACTTTAGAGTCTTCTTTAAATTGAATCTCGGGTTACGTAAGCGCAAAAACCCAGATACTGTTGACGAATGGCGAAAAAATTCGGCATTGAGTTGTGTAAATATTCGGACGGAGTGCGACTTTAATTAATTTGGGTGCGCGTGCACGCACGAAGTGATCGCCGGGTTCTAGGGCGTCGTTAACGAGCTCTGTATCGTTTTCAAGAGCCATTAGTGCAAGGAGAGAGCGATCAATTAGAGGGACTTACGGTTTTACACGTGTGGGCTCGCGAGGAACTATTATCGGGCCATTTCTATACACAATATATATACCATAGAACCTCGATTATACGGGCGACTTGGAACCGGAGGTGGTACGGACAATTCCATTTTTTATTCAGCTACAAAATAATTATAGAAATCGTAATCGAATGCAGTAATATTATTATAATTTTATAAAATAAAATGCTCTTGTACTTGTAGTTTATGAATCCGCGTTGAATTTTTTCCCTAGACATTCAGATTTTTGCAAAAAAAAAGAAATCAAAATTGTATAACAATATTTAGCGATTTAACTTTGAAACTGAAAAAAAATCAAGATTTTATAACAAGATTAACAAATGATGATGTCATTTTACAGTTTTGCATAATAAATGTTCCTTAAATTTTGTTTTTCATGTGTAATTTATGAATCCGCGTTGAGATTTTACCCTAGACATACAGATTTACCGTTAATCAAAATTTGCCCGTTTATGCGATTTTTCAGGCTTTTGATTTTTCAATTTTTCGATTTTTTAAATTTTCGATCTTCCGATTTCTCAATTTGGCGATGTTTCAGTTTTGGTATGTTTCAATTTTTCGTTTCTCCAATTTCTTGATTTTTCAAATTATCGATTTGTCGATTTCTTTCTTTCTAAATTTCTCAATTTTCCGATGTTTTGGTAGTTTTACAATTTTTCAATTTCTTGATTAATTAGTTTTGCGTCATTTCATATTCTCTATCTTTCGATTTTTCGACATTTTTTGATTTTCGGATCTCTCATTTTTTCGACTTATTTATTTATTTTTCAATTTTTCGGTTTTATGTTTTTCAGTTGTTCAATTTTCGATTTTTAAAATTTTCGAATTTTCGATTTCTCCATTTTGCGATGTTTCAGTTTTGGGATGTTTTAATTTTTCGCTTCTTCAGTTTCTTGAATTTTCAAATTATCTCTTATTTCTCAATTTTCCGCTGTTTTAGTTTCACAATTTTTTAATTTTCCAATTTTTGGCGTTGCTACATTTCCGATTTTTCGATTTCTCGATTAATTAATTTTTCGGCTTTTTAGATTTTTATTTTCCGATTTTTCGACTTTTAGATTTTTAGATTTTCCGATTTCTCCGTCTTTCAACGTCTCGGTTTCGCGTATTTTCAGTTTTTCAATTCTCCAATTTGTTTTAATTTTATGGGTTTTTATTTTTTCAATTTTGAAAATTTTCGATTTTTCGAACTGCCGAGTTTTTGATTTTTCTATATCACAATGTTTTAATTTTTGTATCTCAGTATTTAGTTTCTTCAATTTTTCGATATTTCGTTTAGATTTTTCGGTTTTTTACATTTTTAATTCTGCAATTATTCGAATTGCAATTTTTCGGTTTTTTGATGCGTCGTTTTCTCGATTTTTCAATTTTTTTAATATTATATTTTTCGGTGTTTAAATTTTGCATTTTTTGATTTCCCAATTTTCCAAATATGCGATTTTTCTATTTTTCAATTTTTGTCACTATTAAATTTTCAGTTTTTGGATTTTTCTTAGTTTTTCGACTTTTAGATTTTTCTTTTTTTTTTATCTTTTCTATTTCTCGATCCCATTTTTGACTTCTCGGTTTCTCGATTTTTCAGGTTTTCACTTTCCCATTTTTGAGATTTTTCAGTTTTTTTTCAACTTTTTAAATTTTGGGTTTTTCAATTTTCCGATTTGTCAGTTTTTCAGTTCTTCAATTTTTCTAATTTTCAATTTCCCGCATTATGTTCCAATTTTTTGAGTTTGTGATGTGCCGTTCTCTCAATTTTTCAATTTTTTGATATTTTATTTTCGGGTTTTTAAATTTTACATTTTTCAATTTCCCAATTTTTCAATTCAGCGAATTTTCTACTTTTCAATTTTTGTCGTTTATAAATTTTCAGTTTTTGGATTTTTATTAATCGAGTTTTCGATTTTTCAACTTTTTGATACCTCGATTTTCAACTATCAGATTTGTCGATTTTTGTTTTTTCCATTACTGGATCCCATTTTCCACTTCTCGATTTCTAGAGATTTTTCAGTTTGTTAATTCTTTAATTTGTCTATTTCTCGATTTTTTAATTTTTTGATTTTTCTAGTTTCCAATTTTTCGAATTTCTAAATTTTCAATTTTCCGATTTTTGAATTTTCGACTTCTCGATTTCTCTGTTTTTCAGTTTTTGCATTTCTTCAATTTGTCTATTCTTTATGTTTTTGATTATTCTTTTTTTTTTTATTGTTAGTTTTTCGATTTTGCGACTTGATTTTTTGACTTTTCGAGTTCTAGATTTTCCAATTTTTTCGATATTTCAGTTTTGGGATTTTTTTGATTTATTGATTCTTCCACTTTTCAATTCGATGTTTTCATTTTTTACTTTTTCGGTTTTTTAAATTTTAGATTTTTCGGTTTTTTGATTGTTACAATTTTTTTATATTTTATTTTTCGGTTTTTAAATTTTAGGTTGTTCAATTCTGCGATTTTTCTATTTTTCATTTTTGTCATTTATAAATTTTGAGTTGTTCAACTTTTCGATTTCTCGATTTTTTAACTTTAGATTTCTCGATTTTTTCGTCTTTTCCATTTCTTGATTCCATTTTCGACTTCTCGTTTTCTCGATTTTCCGATTTCTCGATTTTTCAGTTCGTCGATTTTTCTAGTTTTCAATTTTTGGCATTTCTAAATTTTCGATTTGTGGATTTCTCGATTTCCCAATTTTTCGGATTTTGCAATTCTTCAATAATTTGTCTATTTTCATGTGTTTGATTTTTCAATTTTTTAATTTTTCAGTTTTTAGATTTTTCGACTTTTTGAATTGTAAATTTTGTAATTCTTCGATATTTCAGCTTTGGAATTTTTCAATACCGATTCTTCAATTTTTCACTTCGATTTTTTCTTTCTTCTTTCTTTTTTTCAATTTTTCGGTTTTTTAAATTTTAGATTTTCGGTTTCTCGATTCATCGATTTTTCTTTTTCCCAATTTTTCGAATTTCTAAAAATTTAACCTTTTCAATGTCTTGATGTTTTATTTGTCAATCTTTCGGTTCTAGATTTTCTGTTTTTAATTTTTTTTCTTTTTCAATTTTTCAATTTTTCGGTTTTTAGTTTTTTCAATGTTTCAGTTTTTTTTTTAATAACACGATGTACAAAAAACTGAGCTCAAGTCTAACTGATTTTAATGTTTGAGTTTCAACGAAATATTTTTTTTTTCAAATTTACTATAATTTTGGAAATTTTTTAACCTTACTCATGTTATTTATTTTCAGCAGTAACCATACTTTCTGCATATTCGAAATCCTTTTTTTTTATTTCTGAGCATAAGGTTCAGGGAGTACAGTAACCGGGTCCACCTGGCAACTTGCTACTTTAATGTTTTCTCGACGTGTTATGCCCTCTAGAGACGGAAAAAAGAGGTCCTCCGTTTCCGTCGTCTGTCTGACTCTCTGTTTGTCCGTCTGTCTGTCCGTCTGTCTGTGTCGGTTTTTATTAAACACTGAAAAATTCACAATTCGAAAAACTCAAATCGAAAAACTGCAAAATCTAAAAATTGAAAAATTCAAAAGTTGGAAAATTGACAAACTGAAAAATTTAAACCTGATAAGCCGAAAAATTGCAAATTGAAAAAATGAATAAACTTTTATTTTACAGAGGTCTTCAGAAAACGAAAATCAAACAAAAGTCTAGATTTTCTAGAAACTTATAATACTGCAATTTTTATGGCCATATTTTAAGCACATACTCCAGAAAATGTAGTGTCAATGAAAATGAATTAAAAAAAATATGTAGTGTTACTACACATCTAATTTACGTTAAATTTGTTATTTTGTGTATGTTTTTGGTAATTAAAATAACATGTGTCAAAAATTCAGAAAATATTATTAATTATATATTTTGAAAGATATTTTAATATCTGAGTACTGTGTTATATATTTTGACAACAGAACTTTTTGTGTGAAGAAAATTTAAAATTTCTATTTTCTCGAAAACGTCAATCTCGAGATACGTTCTTTTGTTTAGCACGACAAAATAAGTACTACACTCTAAAAACCGTCTATTATTTCCCGATCGACTTTAAACCCCAAACCGTTACTTTTATTAGTAACGGCGTAGTTCAACGTGTATAATTACGCAGCGACTAACGATTCCGGAACGCCGTCGCTCCGGCGTCCGCATTATTCCGGTCCCCCGGATCGAAATCCGGCGAATAATCGAGGACTGCTCTTGACCGGACCGTGCCCACTCTGAAACTGAAAACAAAATGTTGAACGTAGGAATTAACTTGGTATACAGTCTTTTATTCCGGCAATAAAAGCTTTTAAAAAGCCCTCCCGGAGAATATTTCCATGAAAACAAATCAAAGCACGACTCGCCATTAATTTATAATGAACAGTCCGAGCTTTTGTCCAAGTAGAACGAGTGCGTATTTGGGGCAACGGCGAGACGTTTCGCTGTGCCACCGGGGGTGGAGAAAAGAGCTGTCGCCACTTCATTACCCTCAAATGATACTTGGGGAATTCGCAATAAGGAAGGAATGCGGGGTAGAAATATGAGTATCCATTTAATATAGAGCGAGGAGCGCTAAACGACCCGTTTATGGGTCATATAAGGGGGAGTAATTAGGATCGATTGGGGTGACAATAGGTCGTAAT